CTATACTTAAAGCTTTTTTTTAGAAATTCTCGTTTTGGCTTAGCAAGGATAAGGTCAGTATAAGTATTGCGAAGATTATAACTGGTTTGAACAAGGTCCCTTCTCATTAGAGCATCCTTCAAGTTCGGCCCAGCGCAATCATTCAGGACTTTATACATTAATGTGGATTTAGTTGTACGTTGTCTTATCTCTAAATTTTCCCAAGCAAGGGATCGAAGATCGACGATTTTCCTGGTTGTTGTACCACAACATTCTCTGTGCGTCACGGTGTTCCTCGTTTACTCGTACTTGTAGAAAGGCTTTCTTTAAGTCACCCGTGATGCAATTACTTCTCAGTCGATTTCTCAAGAGGATGTCGAACAACAGTGGCTGTAAGGACGGTCCTTTCTCGAGGCAGTCGTTCAGGGATGGTAATTGAGGATTAGCTTTTGCAGAACAGTCATACACGATTCTGAGTTTGGTTGACTCCGCATCTTCTCGAATCACCGGCTGATGTGGAATGTAGTGTACCACCTCCCCTGTTTGCTTTGGAGGCACTGGTTCAAGAATCCCTTCACGCAACTGTTCTTCCATCACACTGTGATATTCGTCTAGTTTTCCAAGTTTCTCTAGTCGTCTTGTTGTACTCCTCAATCGCGCTACAGCCAGCACTCTATTCACCGGTAGCGTTGGATGGTCTGGTCTCCATGGCAGATTACTTCGATAAACCCCCTTCTCCGTCTGATGCAAGTGTTCAATAAAGTCCTCGTGAAATTCTGTGTTTATCTCCAACTTCTCCGCTAGTCCCAACACGTCCACTGAACACAACTTCTCGAATTCACTCTGGCTGTTTAGAAAGAGACGTTTCTCGGATGACTCCATCGAGACAATCTTGCCATACAGAGCCCATCCAAGCATCGTGAACTCTGCTCCTGGATCTGTATCCGGATTCTCTCCAAGGATGGGCTGCTCAGCTGACCTTATCCGTTGATAATCTGCTGCTCCCAAGATAATGTGCACAGGTATTTGTCTGTCAGTGGTCTCCTCATCACACAGTTGTAGTTTCTGAAGGGGCCTGGAACTCTTCTTCAGATCTTTCACCTTGGGATTAGGTAAGTAGGTAAGAACCTCTTTCCCTGCATTGATACAATCAATATCTAACTCGAAATCATCTACCACCATCGATTGGATATGAATTCGATAGATTTCGACATTCTTCGTTACAGTTCCGTATAATTGCTCGATACACTTCCGTTCTCGTCTTACTGGTTTGAGAGACAGTTTGGTGATGATATCTGAACACACGTATGATGTGCTAGCACCCGTATCGATCATGACTCGAACTACCCGATCATTCACCTTTGCCTTGACTGTTGGATGAAGTGTTGTTGAATTGCTGCTGGAACTCATATTCTTCTCGAAAGACTGTCTAACTGTGTTTTCTGTAGAAAGTTTGGACTGTTCCTTTTCTACGGTCGATTTCTCGTTGTCGCATAGCGATGTGTGGTGCTTCTGCCCACATTTTGCACAATTTCTGGATCTACAGGTAAGTGCAGTGTGTCCTTTTCCAGTGCAGTTGTAACACAGTCGGTTCTTTTTCAAGATCTCTCGGCGATTTGCCACAGTCAAAACTTTCAAACAGTTTGAACTCTTGTGTCTCTCATTACCACAGTATACACACCCAGTGTTGACTTTCCTGTTTTGCTCGTGGAATACCCTATCCTTGTTCGGCTCTCGTCTTTTGGGTTTTTCTTCCTTCTCTGTCTGCAGTGGATTTCTTTCGACGTACTTTCGCAGGTTTTCCGTTAGCTCCTCCAGTTTCCACTCTTCCCATTTGTCATCTGCCATTGCTAAGATTTCTCTAACCGGTCGGAGTTTATCCATAACTGTATAAACTGTGCTTTGTTCTGAATCCAACTTTTTCATCGTAGTAAGTGTTCTCACCGCCCGAGAAAGTTTGTTATAGAACTCGTGTATACTTGTTGTCTTGTGAATGTCCGTAATCGATTGTAGACTCTCGATCTCTTGAATAATTGCTTTATGCACCTTTATGTCCTTGCCGTATGTTTCCAGTAAAATTCGCTTTGCTTCGATGTAGCTATCACTAGTGTGTGGCCAACCCAAAATGTCCTCACGAGGTTTCCCTTTCGTTAGTTCAAGAAGGTAGTTGAACTTGCTAATTTCTGATATGCTCGAGCCATCTACTTCGACCGAAAATTGATTCCAAAACCGTGTCCAGTCTTTGAAGTCTCCTGTGAATGGAGTAATTGTATACTTTTGAAGTTTCACACTCTGAGTAGCAGTTGCTTGTGAAGTGTTCTCCTGCAATTGTTTCTTGGCTTCTTTCTCGATTTCCAGCTTGCGCAAAAGCCATTCCTCCTCTCTTTGGATCCGTCGAACTTCTAGTTTTTCCATCTCCTCCTTTTCACGTCTTCGAGCTCTTTCATTTTCCTCATTTATAGCACGTTGCTTCTCTATTTCCTTCTTCAATGATTGCTATCTCGATCCACTTGTATCTTTGCTAACGACTCTTTTAATTTTGATTTCATATCTCGAAACGTTTTCAATTTTGTTTTTTCCCCGTTCGACCACTCTAGTATCTGAGAAAGAGTTTGTTCTGTTTCTAACATTTGATCCTTTGCTTTCTCAATGGAAAGATCAAGCTTCTTTAATAGCCCATACAACTGCTCGTAACCAGATTCTATATCATCTGGATCTCCCATTTCCACATAATTTGATATCTCTTCAAAACTAGCTTCTGCAAGCTTCATAACCTTGTTATGTTTCTCCATAATTAATGTGATAAATAAACTTAGTTCATTGAGTCCTTGAATTACGAATATTTAAACCTTAAATGTTTAAAGAAAGAACTTATTCACCGTCCCAGTATGGCTAAATACCCTTCGTTTGTAGTCCACCAAAATATCCCAAATAATGTATGCAAAGTTTTTTCAACTAGCTTAATATTCGCAATAATTTATGCAAATTCTCCCAGTTTGCTTAATATTCGCAATAATTTATGCAAATTTTCCCGTTATACAGTACACTTGTCCTCAATTTGACGCTCTGTACGCTCTGAAAGCACTGTTAAACCTCCTTTAATGTTCACTGAATCCAATGTTTAAAGAATAGAGTTACTCGCCGTCTGAAAACATATAAATCCCTTGTATAGTTTATAGAAATACCCGAGTATTTTACCGTTTACATTGTCCGCTTAAATGTCTTTGCCACAAACACCCACCTTCGCTTCGATTTATAGTTGTTTTAAGGATCACAAACCGCTTGTGATCCTGCCGGGGTCGCCACTTTCTGTGTCGGGAATCAGGCCTCGCATCCAACACCGAAAATAAGTAAATTTACACCTCCAAATTATGGTTTTATAACGTTTTATTTTTCCGTAAACTCTCTCAACGTTTTTCCCTCGAACAACAACACAATCACAAGTTACTTCCGCTTACTTCTGATTACTCCTGATTGGTCAGATTGTTCGCAAACATTTCCATATTTAGAAGCTAAACCTAAGGTCCCCCGATATCCCAAATCAACACAGTATTCCCCTTAATGATTAACTAACGAATTTTCAACATAATAAAGCGCATTTAGGGTCGGACCATTTAATTTTTTTTTGGGGGGGTTGGAAGATTTCGAAAAAAATTTCCTGCAATCCAAGGAGAAAGAAAAAAATATCATGCAGCACATTAATGTAATCGAGAAAAAAATATCATGCAAAAGAGAGCGCTCAACGTTCTTCACTTCAGTATTGTGTCCACAGGCTTGCAAAATTTTTGAGCAGGCACATTCGCTTAGAAGAACACGAGGTAAACAGTGGACAACATCACAGGAATTCTACCGTGGCGTTCTCTGGCAAAATTGTTGCCCCCCCCCCCCCGAGAAAATCTGGGCTTAAGATATGTACAAGTTTATAAGTTATTTATTATTTATACATATCTAATATGCATGGTAGAAAAAGTATATTTTTGGATGGCGTTTTTGATAGCATAACTCCAAACTACATAGGCCCATCTACAGGATGCAAGTTGAACGTACTGCATATACGACGATTTTAATGCGAAAAAGCCAGTTTAGAGAGTATAGATTTTAAAAATTTCTGAAAATGATGCAACCCGATCCCCAACAAGCTATCTGTATGAACGATTGAAAAGCTACAGAGCTATATTTGCATGGTAGAACATTGTTGTTTCGGAGAGCAGTTAAAAATCGCATTATTGAAATCTTGTTTTATTACGTATTAATCAAAATATTATTAATTTTCCCTTGTTTAAAATAAGGACAGTAAGTGTTCCTTAGGCTTAGTATAGCAAAGTTGTTGGACGAATCCATGGCTGAAGACGCAGGAAATAGCATTTCCGAGGTTCAAATCCCCCAAGGTTACAGGTAATTCATATACTGTACCTCCCCCCATTTTCGAGTACTCTACTCTATCCCTGCATGTTTTAGGTTTTGGTGCAGTTACACATTTTTTGTAAGTAAACCTGCATGCTTTAGTTTGGTGAACATTAAGATATAACCATGCATATTAAATAAAGCACAGTGGAAATTCCTCGGCCCCTCTTTGAATTCAGTTCTCGATCTCCTCTGACTGAAAACCCCGGCTACGTCTCTGACGATAGATATATGAAAGGGCAAAAAAGTATCATGCGGCCAGGGACGCCGGAACTGGGGGGCAGGGGGAGGGGCGGCTGCTCCCCTTGCCTTTTGCTAGGGGGGCAGGGGGGGGGGCAGAAGTGCCCTTTTAGTTGTAAAATACTACGTGATAAATCACATTTCCAACGATGCTTTTTGTAGGAAAATCATGAGATTCAGGTAATTTATAGTATATATTTATAAAAATTTTTGAAAATTTTAGGAAATTTAGAAAAATATTTTGAAGAAATGGCGAAAATTTAAGATATGCGGGAAATTTTTGACTTCACGGAAAATTTTGGTATGTCCGGAAAAAATTTTTGACCTCTAAAATGGTACACTGGCCGAAAATTTTTTGGCGATGGGGGGTGGGGAAGGGAGGTCGCCCAAAAATTTCCATTGAAAAAAAATTTTCCGCTAGATTTTGAAGTTTTGCTCTATAGAGGTGCCCTTGGTGTGCGTCCGCCCCCCTTTGCCTTATTATTGTTCCGGCGTCCCTGCCTGCGGCGAAATATATTGGGAAAAAATATCTTGCGCTGCATTTTACAGGAAAAAAATATATGTCTTGTTAATTCCCCTGGGCAGAAAAAAATTCTTGCACAGTCTGAATCTCCCAACCCCCCTAAAAAATCAGATGGTCCGCCCCTTAAACATACACATTCGGCTATAGGCTAATGACTCGGCAAAATTACCAAACAACAGTCGGCAAAAGATCACTCACACACC